CCCTGGCCCACCCTTCTCCGAGGGTGAGGGTCCCGCTGGCGTGTGGAATGCTTGGGGAGGTGCCATGCTTTGGCTTAGCCAGAGGAAAGAGGGCGGCAGGCAGGCAGGCGTCCTTGGCCAGCACATGAGCTGAGCCGGGCCCTCCACCGGTGACCGCTGCGGGGCCGCCGGCCGTGTGGTGGCCGGGCACCCTCCCTCCCCGGGCGCCACGGGGCCAGCCTCCCCCTGCCCTTCCGGCTCCCCGGCACCGAGGTCGGCTCTGCCGTTGGTCAGCATGGTCCACCAGCTGCCACCGCAGCCCGGCATCAGGCCGCTGTCTTGAAGACGGCTGGGCCAGGACATCGAGCCACAGACCAGCTTTATGGAAGGTAGGGGGGGGGGGGGATGTGGCCCTGCGTGCATGAGGTGCTTTGCCCCGGCCGGTGGGGGGGGGGTGAGCAGCCTGGAGGCGTGCTCGGTCCTGAGCACGGGCTTTCCTGGCTCCTGGGCTGCACCTGATGGCGATGGCCTGGCCTGGCCGTGTGGGAGCCCAGGGCCGTGGGACCGGAGAGGGGGTGCCCGGGGGCATGCCTGACTTCGTTGCTGCCGTTGTCACTTTCGTTCTGTTGCTCTGCTGCGAGGCAGCCCCGGCTAGGTGTTTGTGGACTTGGGTTGGGAGCGAGCAAGAAGGACGAGGCTTCCTTTTCAGGTGCCTTGGAGATACCTGGGGTCCCCCCGGGATTTTTCCACTCTGGCTGAACCACAGGGGAGCGGTTTGCACCCTGGAAAGGCACTTGGCCCAGGGGCACGTTCACGGGTGTGTGAGGGCAGAGGAGGAGTGGACTCGGGGGCTCCGGGGGGCCGCCTCTGTGCCACGGCACGGCCCCGCCAGTGCGCGGCAGGCAGCCTGGCTCGGGGCAGCGCTCCGGCACGCCTCCCCTTCCTGCTCCTCCGCCAAGGAGTCCCCGCAACTCGTGACCTTAGGGCTTGAACTTTTGTGTCACATGACCCGCCTGTAAACTGACCTGCAAGGAGGCAAGGGACCGGCCGTGGGCCGGGAAGGCTGCTGGGCAGGCCGAGGCCCTGGCTCCCCGCCTCCTTCATGGCTGCTCCCGAGCCCCCCAGCCAGCGCAGTGGGGCACGAAATGGAGGCATGGGAAGGTAAAGCTCCGGGACGGGGACGGTGGGGAGGCCTGAGCGGCACACGGGGCGGGGGGCGAGCTCTGGGGCCCGCCTTCCGCTGGCTGTAAAACTGGTGCTGCGCCCGTATCCTGCCGCTTTTGCATTTTTCAGTAGCTGCAGACCCGCCTGAGGTCCCTTTTACGCGTGTCGAGTGTGTGTTTCTCCAGTAGGTTTTGACAGTTTGGGAAAGCGTTCCTCTGGTAAATCCTGGGGGTCTTTAGCGTGTAGATTGGTGTGGCCTGCAATCAGTCCGGCACACACCCCTGGGTCGGAGTTGCAAAGAGTTTCCAGCTCGAGCTCGCAAAAACAACACCGAGCCCTCCCCAATTGTCCTCTGCTGGTAGGTTTCCCTCCTTGGTTAAGGGCCCTGAATTGGAGGAGGGGGTGGAGGAGGAGGCGGCCGCAGCAGCATTAATTGCTTTTGTTTGTGCCTGGGCCCGAGTGGGGGCTTCCAGCTGCTGCCTTGCAGCATTTTCAGCCTGCCCCCTCCCTCCCTCCTCCCTCCCTGTTGCAAATGACACACATACCCTCTCCAAAGAGCCCCCAGGAACCCCAGTTTCTTCCTCAGCAAGCTGCTTTCAAGTTGTCCTTGTTCCTGGTGAGGGAGATGTTTTGAAATGGGTCCGGATCAGTGGCAGCTATTCTTCCTCTCCCCCCGCCCCCCAATCCAGAAGAAAGCCACAGGCCCCTCTGGGCCCGAGGAACTGGCCAGGAGGCGGGTGGTGGGAGGAGGAGAGCAGCGCGGTGCGTGTGTGAATGCATGCGTCCCAGTTCAGGACCATTTCGGAGTTTGCTCCAGCAGAGATGGACGCCTGCTTCAGGTGAGGCCTGCTGGGGCCGACCCAGATCCACTTCTGAAAGGCTTCTTTATGGATAAGAACTCAACGCAGAACCGCGCTTCCTGCTTCTCTCCCTCCCGGGGTGTTTCTCCAGTTGCGGGGTGGGGGGAGAGGGCAGCATTTTCCGAGCTGTGCCCTTCTTTACTCACGTCTTTCTCTGCTCCAGAAAGAGGCTTTGAGAGGAGAGACATGCATGCCGTCACATCCCGATTCTCACACAGCTCGTGTGAGTGGTTTAAGGGCCGCTGACTCGGGAGCAACCACAGTGTGAGTTTGGAGAGCCACGGGGAGTCCATCCCCAGCACAGGCTGCCCCCATCCAGGAGGGGCCCCGAAACGGCGTGTCTGCACAGTTGTGGGGGGGCAGGACATTTTCTAAAATTGGCAGAGGACTGCCCCAAGCCTGCAGTTTCCAAGCTCCTCCAGTGGGTACAGGCTTGTGCACAAAGATGGCTTGGCAGCCGAGCTTATTAAGAAGGCGCGGGTTTTTGGGTGGCCCTGCCGGTCGGCCGAGTGCTTGCCCGGCCCGTGAAGCACTCCTCTTCCCAGCTGGGCCTGCGAAGCCTGTCTTGGTTCACAGGGGGTTAATCCTCGCAAGCCAAGCGGCAATCTGGCTTTTCAGCCTTGTCACTCACCATGGCAGGAAGCCAGGCTCTCTTAAGCTCTTTCAGCCCCCTCCTCCTCCAGGGTGGGGGTTGGGAGGAGATCAATAAGGGGCTGCTGGCCCACAGTGGCCGTGCGCGAAAGCCCGGGCCTTGGCAGGGCCAGCCCCGTTTCCAAGTAAATTCCAGCAGATGCTCCTCGGAAGAGGGGGGTCCCCTGCACCAGTCCAGTCGGAGGCAGCGCCATCTCCTGGAGGGGCAGGGAGGAAGGCTTGCTGCAGAGTGTTTTCCCCACAACAGCCTCCTCCAGCTGTCTTGACTGCAACTCCTAGCATCCCCAGGTGGCTGCATGGCAGCACACCGGGCTGGCACCAAGTGTGAGCCGGGTCCTCAGCTGGCTTGAATGCCCTTCTGCCCCTCCTGGGTGGCTCACCCTTCTCCACTGTGCCGCTGCTCTCAAGAGAGCTTTTCTCAAGCAAGGGGCTTCCGGGGGCTTTTGTTTTCTCGAGGGCAGCCTTCCGAAGGACAGGTTGATGGGAGAGGAATGGTGAAAGCAGGTGGGCCGAGGAACCCCTGGGGTGGGTGGGGGGTGGATTTTGAATGGAGTATTTGATTTGTGGGTCTGCCACCCGGAAATCCTCTTATGAAGAAAGGCACCTTCTGTACTTGGTTTAAACGAACGGGGTTCTTGGGCCAGGCTTGGACAAACTTGCAAGAGCGAGGCAAGGCTTCTCTCATGCACCACCTTGCGAAGTGGGCGAAGCGGGGGGTGCCGGCCGCAGAGGCCAGCCGTGTCCCTGGGCCCCGGTGGATGGTCCGGGGTCCCTCGGGGTTGCGAGAGCATCCGGGCTCAGCCAGGCTGGCCACGGGCTTTTCAAGGCTTCGTCCAGCAGGTCCTCCAAGGGGGGACTCTGCCAGTCTGTCCCCTCCGAGGGCTGTTTGCGTCGGCTGCGCTTCGGAAGAGACTCACGTAAGGGGTCTTTTGAGAGATCCGTTTTGCTTCTGTTTTCCGCAACTGGGTCAGCCTCTCCCGCCCCCCACTTTGCCTTCACACTCACAAATGCCAGCGTGTTCCTGCGGTTGTGGCCTTCGATGCTGGGGCTGATGGCCGGTGAGCCCATCCCGCAACCTGCTCTTTGCTCCCACCGTCCCCGTGGAAGATGGGCCGCCCTGGTGGGGTCTCTCCTCTGCAGGAAGTGTTTTGGCGATTGGGTTTGGCTCGCGCCCGTGCGCACAGAGGGGGCCGCCCATTTCCGGGCCTTGGTGGGGGGGTGGGAGCCCCCCGGGGCCAGCTGCCTCTCCCACTTCTGTGAGCGCAAGCGTTGCCCCCTAGGAAAAGGACGTGCGCATAGGCAACCCTGGCACTGCTGCAGAGGCAGTGCTGTGCTGATGTTTGGCGGGTCGGGGCGCTTTGGCCAGCCGCTTTCCCGACAGGAGAGGAGGGCTAAAGACGCCGTTGGCCTCTGAGCAGGGCGTGGATGGTGCTGGACTTTGCCGGCGAGTCGGCCGCACCCTCTCCCTGCGCCGGGTGGGACTTGGGGCCGGCTGCGCCTCTGGGACGCCGAGGCTCGGACTCCGCCTGCAGAGTCTCCAGCTCCAGCCATCGCTCGCGCGGTGCGTGGGCCTTTGGGCCTGACATCGCTGTCTCCGGCAGTTAGCATACGCCATCCGGCAGGGCTGTGTCTCAGCCTGATTCTGTCTCCGTGTGGACGAGGAAGCCTTAAGACGCCACACGGAAAGTGACAGCTCCGCTCCGTGGGAGGGGGCCATTTGCATTCCCTTTTAATCCAGAAGCCGCCTTATTATTTTGGGGAAAGAGGCTGGGACCCGTCAGCTGCCACGGCTCTTCGCCTGATTATCCCTCATAAAGCAGGGCTCTTCAGATCCCTTCCCTCTCTCTCCCTTTTTGTCAACTGTTTAGCAGAGGTTTTGCTGACACTTCTAAAGGTAAGAGAGAGCAGGGCAACCAGCAGGAGCAGTCGGCATGCATGAATAAAACCCGGTTTATTTGTGTCACTTCCCCTGGAGTAAAGGAAGCGGATTTGAGCTCGAGTTTCTTTACCTTTGCAGTGCTGGTGTTTGGAGGGGGGCTTTTCTCCTTCTCCCTCTGCTCTCCCCTCCTCCCCCCCCCCCCCGGTCTCTCCTCACTTTCCTGTCTCATAAACTTGTTCTGGGCTTTGGCATTCCCACATCGTTAAGAGTTGCCATGTCCCCCCTCTGGCCGTCACCTGCACTGGAGCTTTCCCTGAGCTGCACAGAACAGCCCCTGCGGGTGGCTCTTGGTTGCCCAGCAGGAGCGCGTGTTATGTGTGTGTGTGTCCCCCGCGGAGCTCAGCTGGGTCTCGCCTCCCCCCAGGGAAGCTCACCTCCGGCCATTTCCCCCCTCCCTTCTCTTGCAGATGACCGGGCGGACCAGCGCACCTGCCTGATCTGCGGCGACCGAGCGACCGGCCTGCACTACGGCATCATCTCGTGCGAGGGCTGCAAGGGCTTCTTCAAGCGGAGCATCTGCAACAAGCGGGTCTACCGATGCAGCCGCGACCGGAACTGCGTCATGTCCCGCAAGCAGCGGAACAGGTGCCAGTACTGCCGGCTGCTGAAGTGCCTCCAGATGGGGATGAACCGGAAAGGTACCCTCATGGGGGGGGCGGGGGGCACCCCTCGACGCCACTTGGGCCTGTCTCGATGGCCGAAGCAGCCACAGGGGGCGGGGACCGGACTGGAAGGGCCGACGGCACGGGGGCACCGTGAGGCCACGCAGCCGGCAGGCCGTGGAGGTGACCGACGGCGCCGGTGGCCAGAGGGAGGCACACCCAACAGCAGTCCCGGCACGCACTCTGCACGCGCGCACCGAGGCTGCGGCCTGCCCCCTCCTCCCGGCTTCTCCCGGCAGCCCTCTGAGCGTGCCTTTCAGTGGTCCAGTGCCTGTTGCCCTCCCTTCCCCTCGTGCCTTCCGGGCCGGCCCAGGACAGGCAGGGCAATCAGCTCGACAGAGCGGGGGAGATGCTGCCCCTGCCATTTGCCCCCTGCGGGGCTCAGTCGGACGGAAATGTGAGGGTGAGAGGGAGGAATCGCCAGCCCGCACCGAGCACTCCCCCTGCAAGCCGCTCGCCACCCGGCCCACCTGAGCCGTGTCTCCTCTGGCTGCGGGGGAGCCCCTTTTCCCTCAGGCCGAGCTGGGCCCTGCTGTGGTTTTCCCTGGCAATGGGGAGGGTGGCTGGCAGGCACGCAACCCCCAGAGCGGTTGGCAAGGCAAGGCTGTTTCCCCGGGCCACCTGCTCTCGGCCAGCCTTCTCCACCCGGCTGCCCTGCAGGGGTGTCGGAGCACAGCTCCCATCCTTCCCAGCCAGCGTGGCCAGTGATGGGGACGGCGGTCCCAAAGCACCCAAAGCTGGTGAAGGGAGCGCCACGTGCCACGGGGGGCGGGGGATGTGTACGTGGCAGCGTCAAAGACTGCCTGACATTTTGGGGTGCACCGCTTTGAAAAAACAGAGCTGCTTGCCAAGAGATCTTCTGCGCGCTGCATTACACTGTGAGCATGGCGCTTTGCCCGGAACGGGGCGGGACGGTCACCTGAGCTCCTGGTACACCTGGGCGTATCCCCAGCAGCCGCTCACCTGGAAGCTGGGCTGGAGGAGCCAAAGCTCCATCAGTCATTAGCACAAGCTCCATTTTGGGAGCACCAGCAGAGTCCTTCCGGCTCCTTCCGAGAGTTGGGAGAACACTTCGTCCGTCCGTCCGTCCTTCAGCTTATATTCCACGTTATCAGTGCAAAGCCCCCCCCACACGGGTTACAGCCAAAAACAAAAGAAAGACCAAAGTAGCATATCGACATCAAGTAGCGACCATTAAGCAAAAGCTAAACAAAGATGAGTGATAATATACAATAACAACACACAGTAACAACATACAATAACTGTGTACAATTACAAGTATACAATGTACACTTGACAGCCACGTGGAAATAGGTTAGAATAGTGTGCTGGAACAGTGAAAAACTGTTATTGAAACGTCTGGAGAATGCAGTTGTTTTCGCGTTTCACAGTTCTTGTCGTGGGGCTGAGCAGCGGCACGTCACCCACCGAACATTCAACTTACCTGACGTAGAAACATAGAAGCATCGAGACGGAGAGAGTCAGAAGGGACCTCCCGGGCCATCTAGTCTGACCCCAGCTCCAGCCAGCTCCATTCATGAAATACCTACCATGTGCATGTCCAGGAGTCCAGCTTGACCTTGCCCGTGCCCAGTTGCTCCCACAGCCAGCTTGGGACACTTAGTTTAATTTCGGACCCTGGTGGCTTTAGGGGATGCCTCATCCTCGCTCTGCCGGTCCTCTGAGGACAGGCTTGCTCTTCCCCTGTCCCTGTGGGAGGCTGGCAGCCAGCAGAGCCTTTTTTGGGGTCCCTGTGCGGTGGAGTGCCCACACCCCATGCCACCGCCAGCCGAGACTGAGGTCGATCTGTTTGGTTTTAGTAGGACTTGCATTTCAGGGGGCAAAGGAACTGGGTCCGGCTTGCATCTCCAAAAGGTCCTTTTTCCATTGCTGGTCTGTGCTGGCTTTGTAACCTCCTTGGGTTTCTTGGTGAGCTACTCCTAGAGGTTTGCAGAGCTCTCTTTTGGGGAGAAAGGGGTCTGGAAAAACCTCCTTGGGAGGAGGAGGAAGAGGAGGAGGAGTGGGTCTGTGCTTCTAGCTGGCTTGCTAAAGCCCAAGTTGCCGGGAGCTCTGCATGAGGCAGAGAAGAGGGGCAGCGTTTGCTCGTTAGGGCTGGCCCCTCCGCTCGCTTTGCTGCTTGGCAGTGTGCAAGGGAAGGCTGCGGATGGCAGCTGCTGCTTCCCCAGAGGAAGGAGGCAGAGAGGACCGGAGCCTTGATATGTGCACGTGTTTGCACGCATGAGAGAGAAAGCATGCACGCATGTGACCTCTTCTGGGCACTGGCGAGAAGCGCAGGCAGGACTCACTGAGCTTGAAATGTGGCATTTGGCCTCAGCAAGTGTCCTGTAGTTCCAAAAACCAGAGCATTCTGAGAGGTTTCCAAGGATTAAAAAAAAACAACCACCACCCTTTAAAATGCAGGATAATTACATGATATAAACTGTGTTTAAATACCCCCAAAAGAGTCAATTTAACAATCAAAAACCCAGAGACCCGTTAAGAAGTCTCATTGCAGGATATCAAATACCTGGGAGTCATCTTAATTTGGCACCAAAAAATGATAGTGTTGGTACCAGGCAGGCCTCACCGGGGAGACCATTAGAGAATTGGGGACGGATGGACACAGAGACAACTGAGAGGGTAGCTTTCCCTTGCTACCCTCTAAACCACCGTGCTTTATTTTCTCCTGATGAAACATTTGGAGATCTTATATGGCCCTCAGAGAGAAATCCTACAGTTCGTGCAAGATTCACCAAGCTTCTTATAGGGCAGTGATAACCAGGAAGCATTTCTTAGACTGGGGATGGGGATGGGCCGGCCAGATGAGGTGGTGGGCGACAGGCACCCCCTCCATCTGCCTGCCTTATCAAGACACACAAGCCGGGGGGCTGCCCCAGACCGTGCCAGGACCGGTCATCAGCAGGCTTGCTGGGGATGTTGGGAGTTGCAGTCCCAACCCACCTAGAGGACCCCAAGGTGGTGGTGGGGGGCTTTCTGAGTCTCTTCCTCGTGTCCCCCCAGTATCGGAAGCAGGGCAGGTGGCAACCTGATGTAGGGCGGTCGGTGGTGGCAGCCCATCCTTGGAACCCCTTTTCCCTGGGAGGCCCACCTTGCAGCCCACCTGGTTTCCTCTGCAGGAAGATCTTCCTTCCTTACCGAAAGCAATTAGATGTGCTGAAAACCCGTTTACCTGACTTTCAGCCGCAGGGGCGGGTGGACCTTCTGCGGTTTTAATGCTCACCAGCTTCCTGCTGCGGCCTTTTTCAACACGGAGCTGCTCAGCTGGCCCCCCCAGGGTTGAAGGGGGGGTACAAATACCTCTTGATAAATCCGAAGGGATCAGTCACCCTCCCAGGGCCGGCTCCTGGTAACGGCTGCGGTTAAGTGTGGCCACTAGAGGGCGCCCGAGGCACCAGGCGGCGGCCCCTGCAGGCAAACGGAGGTCGGGCAGGCGCTTTCATTTCTCAGTCCAGCTGCCGCTAGTGGGAGCTTTTCGTGCGACCCGTCCCGGAGAAAAGGGGATCCCGGGTTCTTCTCTCCCTTCCGCAGGTGCACTTTGCTTTGCACAGCACCCTGCGCGCACCTTTCAGCCTCCCCGCCACCATGTCCCAGGTGTCCTGCTCTCCAGCCTTCACTGGCACACCGTTTCAGCTCCTCCAAACGGGGCACAGACTCACCACGGTCTAAGTTGCAAAACTGGCCCTGGGGATCCCTGAAGGGACCTGTGATGTTCCGTCCAGTTCGTCCCATGCCTGGGCAGATCCCACAGCACTGACTGGGTGCAAGTGGGAAGGAGCTGCTTCCTATCTGCCCAATGCGACCTTTCCAAACCTGATGCCAGAGGATGGGAATTGCCATCCAGCCCCTTTGCCCCCGGTCAGCCAAACCGCTGAAGCAGCGGAGGCGTCTCAGCTGCCCACACTGGCAAGGACATCCTGCAGGAGAGAGGGAGGTGTGTGGCGCCACGGTTCCCAAGTGTGGGGCTGTCGGTTGTAGCCCTCCATCTTCTCCAGCTGCTTGGACTTGGTGGGAGGCTCTGGCGGGAGGTGGGGGCAGCAGGGCCCCCCGCACGGCCCCAAGGGGTCACCATTGTGCCCTGGGCCAGCCCCTGACCGGCTGCCCGTGTCTTGTGCTTCTCTCCCTCCAGCAATCCGCGAAGATGGCATGCCTGGGGGCAGGAACAAGAGCATTGGGCCTGTCCAGGTAAGCGCGGGGTGCAGTGCCCAGAGTCTTCTGCGTCTCCCCTCTGTGGGCTCCAGAGGAGCCGGGAGTCCATCTTTGCTGAGTCCCTCAGCAAAGTCCAACTTTCCCTGGGTGTGCACTTGTTGGCTGGGGGAAGGGGGGGCGCTTCTGTCACCTCCTGTCTTGGGTTGGGTTGGGTTGGGGAGGGGCAGTGCCCTTCCCGGTTGTCCCTCAGCAAGACTTGGGATGGTCTGAGCAGGAAAGTTGGACCGTAAGGAAGGCTGAGCGCCGAAGGATTGAGGCCTGTGAATTGTGGTGCTGGAGGAGACTCCTGCGAGTCCCCTGGACCGCAAGGAGATCAAACCGGTCAGTCCGAGAGGAGATCAACCCTGACTGCTCTTGAGAAGGCCAGATACCGAAGATGAAGCTCAAATACTTTGGCCACCTAATGAGAAGGAGGGACTCCCTGGAGAAGAGCCTAATGCTGGGAAAAATAGATGGCAAAAGGAGAAGGGGACGGCAGAGGATGAGGGGGCTGGATGGGGTCACTGAAGCAGTCGGCGTGAGCTTGAGTGGACTCCGGGGGAAGGTGGAGGACAGGAGGGCCTGGAGGAGTGTTGTCCATGGGGTCGCGATGGGTCGGGCATGGCTTCGCCACTCACAACACGCAGGAGGAGTCTGCCACCGTCTCCCTGTGTGCTGCATGGAGAAGGTGGCTGGTGAGAGCAGGGGCTCCGTCCGACCCGCCTTTGGGGCCGGCAGAGTGCTGTGCTCCGGCCCGGCCATGCCCCGCTGGCGTTGGGCATTCTTAGGCAGCCCCTCCAGCCCAGGAGCCCCCCCCCCCCCAGCAGCATAAGCCCTTCAGTCCCTGCCAGGTTCTCCGTAAATCTTCCCGTGATCAGAGTGCAATTTCTGGAGTTGTCTCAAGCAGGGCACCCAGTAAATGTCTGGCTGATTGATGGGCCGGCTCGCCTGGAGATGTCTTGTAAAATGCCGGGTAATTCAGCCCAATCGCTTCTGCCACACAAGTGAGAAATGATGGCCGCTTCCCAGATGGCCACTTGGGAAGGCGAGCGCTGGCTTTAATGCAGCAGCCGCATTGCTCCCAGATGGTCTCGCGGAATGACACTCGCCGGGCCATTCGACCAGGAAAATGCGTGGCGCCTCTTGGGACCCCCAGTCCTTCCTCCCACAGCAATGCCATGGCTGGATTCCACAAGGCGTGGTGGGAACTTCCCGGGAAGAAGGCTCCCCGGGGAGCGAGTCTCTGGCACTCCCACCCTTTGCCTCTAATCCATGCTAGCAAACCGTTCCTGGCCTGCACTTTTGGAGTGAGCTGGGGTGGGGGGTACTTCTCTTCCTCCTTATCCATCCATTTGCTCTGTCCCTCCTTCCGCTTCCTATCCAGAAGGGTCTTCAAAAAAGCCACGCCAAACTGTCTTTTGGACGGCAACCCCAGCATTCTGGGGCTGTGGGTGGGCACCAGGGCCGTCAACGCCAGCAGCAGCACGCTGGGGACGGCGGAAATGGCATTCCAGCCTTCTGGAGGGCACCCAGTTAGGAAGGCTGCTCAGAAAAAAACGCCGTCTCTTTTGGAGAGGAGAGGGAGCCAGAGGCTGCTGATCCCCCCAGGGCTGGGGGGCCCCTCGGACCCGGCAGCCTCTCCGTGTTGTGGGTCCTGGGAGCGGATGTGTGCAGCAGGGGGAGCCGGCTGTGCGGCCCTTGGGGTGGAGACGCAGCCCTGCGCCTGCCCCGGGAGACCTTCCCCTGCCCGGCTTTGGAAGCCCTTCAGCGACAGGGCTGGATCTCAGTCCTGCCGCCAGAGCAGCGCCCTGCCCTGCCCTGGGCGAGTGCAGCAGCCTCACGCCCCGGGGGGGTTCTCTCGCTCTTCCTTCCGGCAGATCTCCGAGGAAGAGATTGAGCGGATCATGTCCGGGCAGGAGTTCGAGGGGGAGGCCAACATCTCCTGGAGCAACAACGGGGACAGCGACAACAGCTCCCCCAGCAACGGGGTTTCGGAGAGCAACCAGCCCTCCCCAGTCTCAACCCCCTCCTCAAGGTGGGACTCTGAGCCGAGCGGGAGGGGGAGGCTGCAGGCGGGGAGGCCTGGCTGGGGCTGGGGGGCCGCACATGCCCTGCCGGCCCGCCCGCCTCTCAGCGCTGCGTCGCTTCCTCCAGCAGGTCTGTGGAACTGAACGGGTTCACTGCACTCAGGGACCAGTATGTGGGCACGCCGGTGTCTGCCCCTTGCCCGTACCTCCCGCACCTTCTGGGCTGCCCTGCTCACTCGGCCCTGCTGCCCCCGCAGCCCCGAGGCCTCGACCCCCAGGCCCACAGCCTCCTCATCAGCCAGCTGGTGTCTGCGGAGGACTTGGACCCCCTCGGCACCCCCATGCTGATCGAAGACGGGTGAGTCCTCCGGCGGCCCCGCCTGCAAGGCCTTCCCGAGTCCGGGAGCGGGTCCCCGGCGCCCCGGCTCCTGTCCTGGTGGAGCAGGGGGCTCCGGCTGGGTGCCCGGCCTCCCGTCCCCCTCTCAGTGCTCTCCTCGGGACCCCCGCAGGTACAAAGTGACACAGGCCGAGCTCTTTGCGCTACTCTGCCGGCTGGCGGACGAGCTGCTCTTCCGGCAGATCAGCTGGATCAAGAAGCTGCCGTTCTTTTGTGACCTGTCCGTCCAGGACTACACCTGCCTCCTGAGCTCCACCTGGCAGGAGCTGATCCTGCTCTCCTCCCTCACCGTGTACAGCAAGCAGATCTTTGGCGACCTGGCGGATGTGACCTCCAAGTACTCCCCCTCGGACGACGAGCTCCACAGGTGAGGACGGAGCCCTCGCGCCCGCGCCTCGGGGCCTCCCTGCGCGACGGGGCAGACGGGGCAGGGCCCAGCACCCCTGAGTGCAGCCTGGGCCCCGCGGGGGAGAGCGAAGGGCAGCCGCTCCCCGGGAGGGCGTCTGGCCAGGGGCCTTCCTCGCGCTTGGGACCCACGTGCCTCTGAAACGGCAGTGCTCGCGTCTTCGCAGCGCTTGGGAGCCGAGCGGTGCCGGGGGGCAGCCCGGCAAAGGTGGCTCGGTCCAGACCGCTGCTCCGCCCGCAGACCCCCTTTCAGCCCCCACACAGCTGGAGCGGGGAGCTCTCCGCCACGGTGCCCCCCCCCCCCCGGGGCAAAAGAGCGCTGGCCGTAGTGGGGCACTCTCTGCGGGTCTCCCCCCCGCCTCTGTGGCCGAGACCACGCCAGCCGCCGACTGCTCCGCCTCTCGCAAACGTTGCCGGGGTGGCCCTCTTCTGGAGCCCCTGGCGGAGGGTCCCCCGCGGTGTGGAGCAAGCGCCTGGTCGCGGCTGCTCACCGCCGTGGGGCCCCCGCTTGCCCGCAGCCCCCTGGATGTGTCCAAATGCAGTCTGGCCCAGAGAGTCACGCATGGCCTGCCGCCACCCCCCGCGACCGGGCCGCTCACGGATCGGGAGGGGGGCCTTCCTCCGTCCAGCGTGCCGGGCAGGTGTCCTGGCCTCCAGCTCTCGTTGTGGGGGTGAGGGGGCTCGGCTCCTGGGGCTCCATGGTGCACGGGGGCTTGCAGACACACACACACCTCTCTTCCCCTCCGGGGCCCTCCCTCGGCATCCTTGACCTCGAGACTCCGGCCCTCCCGCTAAATCAAGTCTGCCCTCCCCTCCCCGGCCACAGCGACGCCTCTGCAACTTTGCAACAAATTTATGGCCCCTTGTCCACCTAATGAGCCCCTTATCAGGAATTGTGCTTAACACCGCACGATCGCAGTTTGGCTTGTTGAGGGGGGGGGCAGCAATAAACCCAGACAGTCCTGCTGGGGGAGGCTCTGCACAAGATACGCAGCACTCCCGAACCCGGACAACACGCGGCTGTCCCTGGGGCGGGGGGGGGGGGGGGCGGCCCGGACACAGCAGGGGACGGTGCTGAGGCCCTCCCTAGCACCTTTCACCTGCAGGAGCGCTGCCTCCAGGACGGGAGCGAAGCTGGGGCCGCGTTCGGATCGGCCAGCCGTTCGCTCGCATTACGTCCAGAATTGCTTTCCGGGAGAGCTGAGCCCCAGTTCAGGCAGTGCTGCTTTCCTCCCCGAGGTGGGGCTGGGGGTTTGGTTTTGTGCAAGTCACTCTGGAGGAAGCTGGCCTGTCCCAGAGGAGGAGGAGGAGGGAGCAGCACAGGTGGGGGTGGCCAGATGGCTTTCGCTGTCCCGTGGAGGGCCACCTGGGCATTGCCGTGCCCTCCTTGCATTTGGTGCACCTGATACTCTCCCAACGCCAGTTCCTATCTTCCCCTTTCGGCAAGGCCATTGGCTGGGAATGATGAGGTTTCTAGTCCCAGGGGAGCCGAAGGGCCCAGGTTCGGAAGGGCTGTCTTGCGCCCGTGGCTTTGGAAGATGCAAGGCTGGATTCCCAGCACACGGCGATGGGGGTTGCGCTGGACAGGAGAACACCCACCGGGCTTCCGGGGCGGCCCAGGCACCTCCATGGGGGGCGGGGGGGGGGCGGGGGCTGCTGATTCACGCCCTGCCTGTCTTTGGATGAGCACAGAGTAGCAAAGGCAGGTCCCCCTTCCAGGGCGGGGGGCCAGCTTCCCAAGCGGTCTCAGCAGGGAGCTGCCGGGCTGCACCCCAGCCACCCACAAGTGCGGTCAGGAAGGGACCCACCTGAAGCCCCAGGGGGCTGCTGCCAGCCTGTGTCGGCCACGCCAGGCTGCCTGGACCAAGCACGAGGCAGATCCCTGCGTGGCCCCTTTGGAGCAGCGGCAGGCATGCCCTGCGCTTTTCGCCCTCCAAGCCCTTTTTGCCGCCGCCGCAGCAGCTCTGGGGCGCCGGCCTCTGCGTCCAGGCCGCCGAGCGGGTGATGCCGCCAGGCCTCTCCCTGGAGAACCGGGAGCCCGCCCGGGCCCGTCTGACTCGCAGCCGCCTTCCTCCCCACCACAGGTTCAGCGAGGAGGGGATGGAGGTGATGGAGCGGCTCATCTACCTGTACCGCAAGTTCAGCCAGCTGAAGGTCAGCAACGAGGAATACGCCTGCATGAAAGCCATCAACTTCCTCAACCAAGGTGAGTGGGGGGGGTCGCTCCCCACATGTCCCCCCCCCGCCCCCGGGCACTGGCCCAGGCAGTCCACACCCTTCCAGCCCAGCGGCAGGACTGGGTCCCGGCCTGGCCCAGCAAGGGGCTGGGGGCTGCTTCCTCCCCACTCCCCAGTCCGCCTTCTGCTGCTCACTTTATGCTCGGGGGGGGGTGCAAGCAGCCAGTGGGGCACAGGGTTTGCCTGGCCCAGCAAGGGGGTGGGGTGGGGTGGGGTGGTTCTCCCCCGCCCACCAGTTCTGGGCGTTGAACAAGGAGGGGGCTGCTTTGGTGGCCCTGCCAGGGAAACGGGCTTTGCTTCTGGACCCCAGACACTGCCCCCTGCTGGCTGCCTGGCCTGGCCCTGAAGATCGTGGCAACCTGGACAGTGGCCCACCTGCCCAACGGCAGGGGCGGCCCGGCACCATCAGGCCGGGTGCCCCCGGGCAGCCCCCCCCCCCGCATCTCACGGGCTCGGGCTGGGCGCGCCGCTGCCGGCTCACCGGGGCCGGGGCCCCCTTCCCCACGCAGACATCCGGGGCCTGGCCAACGCCCCGCAGCTGGAGCAGCTGAACAAGCGCTGCTGGTACGTGTGCCAGGACTTCATGGAGCTCAAGTACCCGCATCAGCCCAGCCGGTTTCCCGACCTGATGATGTGTCTGCCCGAGATCCGATACATTGCAGGTGAGGGGCCTGCCGCGAGGGCGCAGGTGCCGTGATCCCGGGAGGCCCTGAGCAAGGGGGCGGGGGGGGCGGGGCGGGGGGGCTTCCTGTCCTCTCCTTCCGGTTGCCCACAGTGGGGACTCTGGCATGGGCCAGATGGCCCGGCCCGCTCGCTCCTGGCTTTTCCAGCTGCAGCTCAGACCGCTTCAGCCCCCGCTTCCATCCCCAGCCCCACCGCGCCTTCCCCCCATGGCAGATACCTGCCTGCCATGCAGGAAGTCCCCAGTTTAATCCCGGCGTCTCCAGCTGGACAAGGTAGAAACCTTGCCTGAACTCCTGGAGAGGCTGCCGGTCAGGGCAGGCGGCCCCGGGCCGGGTGGGGCAGAGGCTGATGTGGGGCGAGGCAGCTTCGGGGCTCCCGTGTGCCCGGTCAGCGCCCTGATCCCGCCACCCCAAGGCGTCACGGGGGGCGGGGGACGGACCCAGCCTGGCCGGCCCTAAAGGGGAGTTCACCAGTCGAGGGCGCTGAGCGCTGGAGACGGGCCTTGGACGCCCTCCCCCCCTGCCGGGCCGTCTCCCCGGGAGGCACGGGGACGCGTGGGGGCAGCAGCTCAGCCGGGTTCTTGTCTTGGCAGGAAAAATGGTGACCGTGCCGCTGGAGCAGCTGCCGCTCCTGTTCAAGGCGGTCTTGCATTCCTGCAAGGCCGGCGCAGGCAAAGCGTGAGCAGGCGCGAGCGACACGCCGCCCTCGGTGCCTCCAGCGGAGGAAGGAGGAAGAGGAGGAGGGTCTGCGGCGGACGGGGCCGCCGTGGCAGGGCTGCCGGCCGCCGTGCCGTGGTAGCAGGAGTCCCGGAGGGGGGGGGGTTGCTGGTGCTTTTTTTGTTTTGTTTTTTACTCGTTTCCTATAATATTTATTTCACGACAGAGTTGAATGTATGATCTTCAACCCCGCACACGGCGTTCTGTCCGAATGCCCCCGACGGCGTCCTCTCTCGCAGTTTACAGGCCACGTGAAGATGCGTGTTACAGTATTTTAGGGTAGACCTTTTGTACTGGGGGGCGGGGGCGGGGGGCCGACGACAAAGACTACCTCAAGGAGAAGGTGCTGTTTGCGCTCGCCTGCGGGTCCCGTCCCCGGGGCCTCTTCCACCTGGGGCAATCAGCAGGCCCTGGCGGCGGGGGCCTTCCCTCCCCTAGAGAAGGTGCCAAGCCGCAGCACGCCCCCTCCCCCTCCCCGGAGCCCCTCCCACGCAGGCCTGCGCTCCCTCTCCACGCGGCAGACCCCACAGCCCCCTCCCCAGCATCACTGCCCTTCAGGGTGCGAGCGTGGGCTGGCAGCCCCTCAGCCCCAGGGACTGCCCGTCCATCGGTCCGTCCGTCCGTCCATGATGCCACCCATCCTCCCCGGACGGGTGACGGGGGCCATCCGGGAGCTCCCCGGCCCTGCTCCTCTCCTCCCCTTGGGCCTGCCCGTGCGGGTCCTCTTCGGCTATGGGGGGTCGTTCTTCCTGCTGCTCTCAGCGGCTTTGCCCCACGTGCCGGAGGCTCCCTTCGGCCGCTTTCCCGATGCCCGGAGCCACTGCTGCTTCTCGGGGGAGGGGGGGGCACGAGGTCTGCTGAGGAGCTTTTCATAGACTTGATTATTATTTTTTAAACTACCTGAAGCTCCTCAAAGATGGGGGCGCAGCCCTTCCGCCTGCTCAGTTCACCCACCGGGCCTGGTCTCCTGCCATCGGCAGACCACAAGCGAGCACGGAGGAGCGACTGGGGGGGCCAGTCCTCCTCCTCCTCCTCCCTCCCTTACCCCGGCCCCACCACACACCCCTCACCGGTGCTGCCACAACTGCCTTGACCCCACAGAGCCCCCGCCCTCCCTCTGCCCGTGGACCCTTGGCACATCTCTAGGGGAGGGCCGGAAGCCCACGGGCTGCCCGCGGGATTGGGGCCCGCTGGTGCTGGCCAGGCTCGTGCGCTCGGCTGACCTCTCCTCCTGCCGCTGCTGCTGCTGCTGCTGCTCTGCTGCGTGGGTCCAGCAAGGCGAAACGGGTAACGGCCCCGGCGCCGCCGCCGGGGCTTTGCCAATCCCAGGCTGGTGTTTCGGCCCCTCGGCGTCCCGCCGGTCGTTTCTTTTGTCTCAGGAAGTCCCTTCTGCTCCAATGTGATATACCTCAAAGGGCGACGGGGAGGCGCAGCCCTCTTCTCCGTCCGCCCTTCTGTCTGTCCTGTCTGTGTGGTAAACTAGGCGGCGCTGCTGGCGATCGTCTGGCCAAGAGCGCCCCGCGATGCCTCGGATGACGGGGTTACCTTCTGGCTTGCCCGCCTGCTCGGGAGTGCGCTGCGCACGTGGCCGGCCGGCCCTGCTGGGCCCCTTCGGGCGCGCCGGCTTTGGAACTTGCAGATCTGTGGCCGCGGGGCCCTCGGGAACAGGCTGCCATCTCTTGCTCCCCCCGCTGCCCCCCCCCAGTATTTCAGAAGTGTCTGGACTTAAGGGGGGGCGATTGTCTCCCTTGCCGGCCAGAGCTGCTGGGAGTGTTATGCAAGCCAGCCTTTTTCTGGCCGTTGTGCGAGCCCTCTTACCTTCGTGTGAGCAGGCCTCCTCCGTCGACAAAGCGCCTGCCTCTGCCGGGGGGCCGAAAAGCCAGCCCTGCCCACACGCAAGCCAGGAGGTAACTTGTCGGGCTGCTATTAACGCTTCCTGCAACCGAGTCCGCTCACGACTTGGGGGTTTGAAACAGGGTAAAGTGAATGTAATGCTTTGCGGGCTCAGGTATTATGTGAAGAAAATAGGAATGTAGCTAGAGGCATAGAGACCATAGGTCACTCACTAGATGGATTTGTGAATTGGTTTGAAGGACGCCCTACAAAGGTTGGAATTCTCTCTCTGTGCCAGCGCGCTCTCCGCGCTCGGTTTGCAAATGGGCCACGTAAGCATTTGCTGTTGGGTGCTGGGGCGGGCGGGGGGGGCCCCTTGGCATTCATTACCGGTGGCGTCTCCAGGCCTTCGGCTCGGAACACCCCACCTGCCGCAGCAAGATTCCCGGCAGGCGTTTAAAAGCTGCCTCCCTGGTTTGGGAAGGGAACGCCGACTCTGTGGCCACTGGCACCCTGCTCCCCAGCGGCAGCGCGGGACCCAAAGGGCCTTCCCCCCCCCCGCCCCACCCTCCGAAGGCCTTCGCGGGGACGGCACAGGGCAGCCCGGTCCCCCTCCCGCTGCCCAGTCCAATCCAGTCCTTCAAACCAACCTTTTTAATTTTGCTGTTGCTGTTTATAAACTTGAACTTCTTTTTATCTTTTTTAATATTTTTATTTTCTAAATGAGAACAACCAAAAAAAGGGGGGAGGAAGGGAAGAGCGGGGAGCAGGGCCCCCCCGCCCTTCCCTCTCCCCCGCCATCGTGTCTGTCACCGCCTGTCCCTCCTCGGCGGGTCCAGCCCCACACACCAGGCGGGTCCGCAGGGGCCGAGAGGGCGGCGATTTGCTTTCATCAGACTTTGGTGCGGCCATGAGGCCTGCCCTGGGCGGCAGGCACCCGACCCGACCTGGCCGGCGCGGTTGTCCTTTCCACGACGGTCAGTCCAAGGGGAAGCCCGGCCCAGTGGCCGTGGTGGTGACCTGCAGTGTTTCCCGGGGGTCTCCGTGTGCACCCCCCGTGGGCTGCCCACGGAAACTCAGGGATATGTATTTATATTGAACCCCGGGAAATGCCGCCACCATCACGGAGGCCCCGGGCCCGGTGGGGCTCTCCCCGGGCCCGGTTGGAGCTTCCCCGCCCTCTTGATGCCGGCTGGGTAGCTTTAGGGGGCCCGGGTCTCCCCCAACGGGTCCAGGCAAAGGAGCCACTGGCCGGGCTCGGGCCTGCCCTCCGCAGGCCCCTGCTGACCCCCCCCCCCCGAGCCGCCTTTGTGATAGACAAGATTCTTCTCTCCTATGTATGGCTTCGTCTTGTACTCGCTGTCGAGAACATCATTGACTCAGTTTCCATAACAAAACTACCTCTTGAGTGACACCCTGTTTATCATCTCAAAGGGATTGTGTGAAAAAATGGACATTTTCTCCCCCCCCAGACCCCCACCCCGTTCCTTTTGATGCAAAACCAAAGCACCCCCTCCCACAAAACCTGGCTGAGGGGACGCGCGGCAGGAGCAGTCTTCCTGGGCGCGGGGGGCGCTTCCCCAGCTCCGCCTGCACAGCGGCCGTGTCGCATCCGCCGCCTTCGGCACAGCGGGGGTGCCTCCGGGGCGCGGGCGCATGCCCACCTGCCCCTGGGGGCCGCCTGCGGTGCCCTTCCGGACAGACCGGTGGCAGTTGCAGCCCCATCACTGCCGGCGGGGGAGAAGGAGCCGAGCCACCGCCCCCCCGCCCCCCACTTGCCGCCTCGACTTGGCAGGCGACCCGACTCCCTTTCGCTGGCCCCCTTGCAGGGGAGGCAAGCAGAACAGAAGTGGGCTCGCCCGCATGCAGGGAGAGTGGCTGGGGGGGATGGGCCTTGCCAACCGACCCGTCCGGGAGGCGCCCGATGGCGAGAGCCGCCGTGCCCACTGGAGCTCCACCAGTGCCGATCTCAGTAGCTTTGGCACGGAGCTGCTCTCGGCCTCGGCGGCGGGTCCTTTTGGCGATCCGCCCCCACCTCGCTCCGCAGAGGGCGCCCCCACTGCCCGAGCCAGGGGCCGGTCGGTGTGGCGGCCAGACCACCTGGCCACTCAGCGGAGAGGGATCCGGGGGCTTGCGTGTGCACACGTGCCCCCCCCCCCGGGGCTTTGGCTGGACCGCCCTGGGCACCCCACTTGGCCTGCAAGCTCCCCACCTGGCTCCGGCCGCAGAACAGCCACAGGCCCCGTCTCACGCCGCCTGCCCCTTGACCGACCAACTGACCGATCGATCGAAATGCATTTTTCCCATAATCCCTTGTACCAAATCAGGGAAAGCAGGTGTCACTGCAACATAAAAAGTGGATGTTTAGCTGTTATGTTTTCACACTCTCGGAGCTGGAGCCCCCGGGCAGCCGACCTGGCAGGGCGCAGGGCCCCCCGGCCCCTGCCGCGGGACGGGCTCGGGTCTCCCCGCGGGGAAGCTCGGCCCCCGCGAGCGACTCGCCCCTGCCCCCTTCGCCTCGGCTCCGAAGCTCTCCTCTGCGACTTGACTACCTGTGGAAATGTGACCAGTAAGTGTGGAACGCATGTTTAGCAAGTGTTAGAAATTTGAACTAATAAATGTGAACGGTTCTGCACCGCTTGGGTCGCTGGTGTCTTTCCTCCCGGCGTCGCTCGCCCTCTTCCCCGTGCGCGTGGGTGTGCGCCCTGCCTGCGCTTGGATTGGGCCTTGCGACGTGGCAGCGGCCGGAAGGGGTGGGTCCCCTCGTCCCGGGCTCCTGTTGGCATCCGAACCGTGGGGCGCAGGCAGAAGAGGCCGCTGCCCTTGTTGCTCAGAGGTGTGCAAGGAGAGGGCTCCCCCCCCCCCGCCAAAATGTGCCTCTCGCTTTAATAGCTGCTGCACAGCAAGAAATAATGCGTAAAACAATGACTGAGGAAAACGATTTGCAAATGAACCAAAATAAAGAACAGCCTTGACCGGTGCACCGTGGAAGGAAACAAGGAATCAATTAAGGATCTCGCATGTCAGACTGCCATGTCAAGGTGGCGAATGGGAGCCTTGTGTTTTTCGTGTTCTGCGCATGAAGAGCATGTGCTTCAGGACCCGTGTGGCCGGGAGAGCAGTGCCGTACGGAGGCGCTGTGCGTGGGTGTGCAGAGATGAGACTGCCGTTGCCCAGCCGGCGAGCCTTCCCAGAGCTCCCAGAGGCAGCCACGTCGCTGGCTGGGGAAACATGGTAAGACCTCTCCCTTTCCAAGCACTTGTGCACAAAAGCATCCAGGCACTTCACTTCCCCTGCAAGAGAGCTGCCTTCCACCCGCGACACGTCTGTCCTGAAGTTCTCCCTCTCGCAAAACACCCTGCACAATTTCCTCCCCACTGTGTTATCCTCACAACAACCCTGCAAAGTAGGCTGGGGCTCCAACTGTTCTTTTACCTTTCCTGGGAAGCACACACGGTGT